TGACGGGGGATGGGGGATGTTGCCGTTTACTAATTGCCCTCCCTTTAATCTATTAGTTCGAAAGTTTGACGGCTCTGCGCAGATAGTCCTTGTGTAACTTTGCGCGAAAATTCTAAACCAAGTCCACGTAAGTTTCATAGTGAAAGTTTAAAGCTTGAACAGATATCATAAAGTATTTTTCTTAAAACTATTTTCTGCGTTAAATTAATTAGAAGTTACTATAGAAAGACCTCTTCATTCATCTGATATTCTCTAATATATAAACTACGATGAGGGGAGGATTGACTACGTGATCTGTTCATGACCAAAACGTTCATGACAGCGAGAACTTCACAGTAGATTTTGGATTATTCTATAGTGTTTAATGTTTACCTAATCTCATCCATCACAATCTGCTCGAACGATAAAAAAAAAATAATTATGGTCTCTTTCCAAAGATCACCAAAAGAGAAACTAGAGCCGTTACTTACAAATCATGTTTATTACAAATTATAACGTTGACATTTCACTGGACTGAATGGACCTTGTGAAAATATTGCTGAAAAACACGCGATTCCAAATATTAAGGTTCATGATAACGTTTTCTCCTATGTTCTTACTAATGCATTTCAGTAGCCTGGTCTTTAACTGTACTTCTAAAACAGAAGTACATTTCTTTAGGTTTATATAAGGAATCAAAACTCTTTCTCACACACTTGTATAGAAGAAACAAAGAAAACTTTTATTTCGTCTATACAAGATTGTAAGAATTAAAAGAAAAATTTATTTATGGATAGATGAAATACACGTTTTAACCATATTGCCTGAAAGTAAGCAAAGCCTTGCTCTATAAAAAACACTACATGTTACACTGAAGTGGAAAACTTTATAAATGGACAGAAATGTTTTACTCATGGATGTTTTTCTAAGTACAGTAGATGATTTGAACTTAGTCCAACAACGCGTTGCTGGAATGTTCATCTAAAATATATAAAGTTAGACTTACAATGAACAACGATAAGTCGTAATCAATAAAACTCCGAAATTAAGATTTCAAAAGTTAGGGCACTTTTTAAATCCAAATAAACAATATATATAATGTCACATCTTCGCTACTTAATACTAACTTTTATAGTTTCTAAAACCACCTTATAGTGTTTTTTAATTGATCCTCGTGATGATTTAAAGTATTTTTCTAAAGGACTTGAGAGCTGGAGCTAAGTTGTATGCCTAGATTAAATACAAACTGTGAAGTCTGTCATTATTTTTTTTTAATTTCGCGCAAGGCTACACGAGGGCTATCTGTGCTAGCCGTCCCTAATTTAGTAGTGTAAGACTAGAGGGAAGGTAGCTAGTCATCACCACCCACCGCCAACTCTTGGACTACTCTTTTATCAATGAATAGGGGGATTGATCGTCACATTATAACGCCCCCACAGCTGAAAGGGTGAGCATGTTTAG